CGGTTCGTCGGTTAAATTTGAGTAAACACATTAAAAAAGGCGAGTTAAAATTTTTAACCGAATATAATCGCACTGTGTTCATATATCTCCCAAGTATAACACGCGAATCGATTTTAACCCGAATTAACCGATTGGCAGTGTACTACTCGACTACTGTACACCCATACACCTTGATCCTCACTGTACGCTTTAATCGATACAATATCGCGTTATCGTAGTTTGATGTGATATAACTTTAGTTTTCGTTAGTTGTTTCCGTCGCGGTTGTGATCCGAACAGCGTAAAAATATTACGCGTTCGTTACGTAAACTCGGATTATTGTGGAACTGGGCGGGACGCGGATTCGTTTCCGTAATTCAACAGGAAACGCGATATCAACGAACGCGATAAAATCCACTGTGATAATAAAATTATGTAAATAAAATGTTATTGTTACGGTTTTGCGCGACGGCGAAAGATCAAAAGAAAAATGCGATACGAGCGACGAAAATCAAATAGCTGAATACGGTTACGGCTAATGGCGAATGCGTCGAGCGACGGCAACGACGGCGCAATGTTTTTAGATTGGGTTTGTCGCTTTTGATGTATGCATTTTTCGTGTGTCTGGTAAACGTGTTGTCGTAATATTTTTAAACGCCGTATTCTGAACATCGACAATTAATGTAGCACTTTTTCCGACAGCAATGTTAAATTTGTCCGAATGTTCTTTTGAGCTTTATACATCCATTTGAAATTGTCTAGGTTTTTTTGTTTTCAAACGTTTTAAGTCCGTACGGAAATCTCGTACGAATCGTTGAACGACAAAACAGACGTATTCGACATTCGTTCGAAACGGACTTACGTTGGCAATATTATGGCTCGTCGAATAATTAAAAAAAAAAAAAAAACTCCATATTACGCGTATCGTACGTCAGCGACTTCCACGCCGACAACGGCGTCACGCCCGTCTCCGTTATTTTTTCCTTCGAGTGAGCGTAATGCATTCAGTTGTCCTTGCAGCGAATATTATGGAAATGCAACGGGATTCGAAATTCCGCGGACAATAATTTATTGCGGAATAAATTTCCGATTTCCGAATAGGTGTGCAATAGTTTTAAAATTATTTATAGAAGATTAAAGAACGGCGGCCGCCGTTGCGAATTTATACGCCGCGTTGATCGATTATTGAACGTTGGGCTGAAAAATGTCCAGTAGCTATACAACGCCCGAAACCTAAAGAGATAAAAGAACCTATTTATTTAAAATGTCACTGATAAACGTCGTCGCCGTCAATAGCGCTCTCGCAGTTTCTCTTTGGAATTTTTTTTCTTCTTTTTTTTTTCTTTTTTTTTTTTCTGTTGTTGCCGTTTCCATTCGCCGTATAACACGAGTGTCTTTTTTACTTGTTCCGCCCGACCGACGACGCGACGTCCGCCGAAATACGCACACGTTCCGCTAATTTTTCACTGCGGGTTTTTATTTTTTTTTTTTTTTTTTTTTTTTTTATAGCCGCTATTATTTTTAAACGACGACGAGGCGATATTTATATTTGTTTCCGAAATAATTGATTGTAAATTCTCTATAAAACGGTCGACTACGACGATTCATACGACCTTACGTTCGTTCGTCGTTACGGCGTTTTTCGCTTAATCGAAAAGTACACTCCGCGAGAAATCCGATTGTAAAACGTGCGCGCGATTTAAAATCGCAATCAACGGAAAATATAATAAAACGTGCGTTCGACGTTCTGGAAACGTAAAAAACCAATCGTCGATGGTGAAAAACAATTCTGAGCGTAGTTATTAACTCTCGACAAACTATAATAAATTGAAAACCGTATTCGTTTATTGTAACTTACAAAATAAATTACAATATTATCGGTATGTTTTTCCGTCTCAAAATTTTTGGCACACGGCATGTTGCGATTTTCATAAAAATTTTAACTTCAAGCTCAACAATGGATTTCCTATATTTTTTATTGTTACAAGGGCAATTTACTCTGAATTAAAACGAAAAAAACCAAATTGAAAATAATTAAAACCGTTATAGCCGTTTATTGTCCTGGCTTTCCAATAAGTTATTTTTCTCGAGTTTTCACAATCGTTAAGGAAACCGCCAATTGACTTTATAACCGTACCGTCTAGGCAACATAGTCTACCAGATAGCACCACGATGAACGGAGCATGATTTCTGGTAGAAAAATCGTTACAGACAAATAACAAAAAGACTGATACTACTGATAGGTGTGCCAATACTTTAGGAGGGAAGTTTGAGAGGTTTTATAGAGTAATTTAGTTTATATTTGTATGCAACGGTAGATCATTGCTAACGAAAGAATATTAAGTATTATTATTAGTCGTATTTTTCTTTTTGTTGCCAAGGTAAACCAGAAATCAACAAATGTATAACGTTAAAAAATATAATTTTTCCTCGTTTGTTTTTAAGAAAGAATTGCCGTTCGATTTAACATTTCCCACATTTGTTCGGCATCGGGTTTGTTGAGTTTCACTCCATAGATATAATAATATATTATATACACACGTATTATACGGGTCGGCAAAAATATGGTCGCGACGGTGTTGGGCGCATAACGCGGCGGAATTCGTAATAATAATAATAATAATAATAATAATAAAAAACAACCAGCAAATCCGACCCCAAAACACTCGAAAATCCATAACACAAACATCTCTAAAGTGCCCCCTCACCTCCGTTGCCTGTCCCTACATCGCCGATTTGTCTTTCGTATTACGTGTTCCCGGATGTTGCGGGAGGCAAGACCCGATATATTAGCGCTCGTATCTGGCGGTCTTTTTTTTTTTTATTTTTTATGTGTCCTCCACGCACACATTCACCGCAATTTCTGAAACTAGCACGGAAAAACTCTTCCGCCACTGTATCATAACTAACCAAGGTGGTAACCGGTGCAGGGCGTGGAGGAAATGTGAAAAATCTAAAATTCGAGCGATAGTACCGGCTTTAAAAAAAAGGGAACGTCGTCGTCGGTTTCCTATGTTTAACTTTTCAGACCTTTGTACGTTCTCTATTATTCTGAATTTTTCAAAAACTTATAAAGGTTAATTTTTTTTTTTTATCTTTTTTCTGTTATTAAAACTTTAGTACTTCTTCTTCTTCTGACTGTAACATTCGTAATTTAAAAACATAAAAATTAAAAATGACAATAGAATTTATTAGAAAAAAATTACACATTTTTTAAAAAATGTATTTATAAAGTTAAAAAACATAATAAAGTTAAATAGAAAAATTAAAATAACTTTTGAATATACAATTACGTTAAACATTAAAATTATAAAACGTAATATATAATTACTAATTACTAATTAATATACTAAAAACGTAACAACGATGTGTTTTTTTTTTTTAAATTAAACCCTGATTTAAACTAATGATCCATATATTTATAGAATTTTTTTTTACTTAAAGTTCCTACTTAAATTTTAAAAATAAACCACAAACCCCTTCTGAAAAAAAAAATATATATATGTACAAATTGATTTGATATGATTTTAATATTTTAATAAATCTCAATTTAATTCAATATGCTGAATATTTGCATGATAAAATGTCTGTAACATAAATTTTGAATCAACTTGTACAATAAACTACAGGAAATTTTAAAAATTTAATAGTGTTATCTTTTAGTTCAGTAGAACCGATTTGGTGTTTTTAGTTTTAAAATATTAGTGTCAATTATCAAACTTGAAAATACAAATATTTTCTATGTTATTTCGTTACTTTTTGTTTTCGGTTAGGTTAAACATGAGTATGTAAATTTTGCAATTTAAAAATCACCGTGTCTCTTTCGAAAATCCTTATATTATCGAGAAATACCCAAACTAAAAATACAGACAATGTTTCTTAACTTCTAATTTGATTGTGTGCTAATTCACTCTAATATTAATACTAATAGCGCAAAATCAGTTCAACTGGACGGAAAAAAAAACATTTAACAATTTTCAACACTATCCATGATACTGGGTGTCCAACGAGGATAAACTCATTGAAACATCTCCAGGGATAATAATGATAATCAGTTTTTAGATTCTTAGTGGAACGAGGAATGCATTGGTTTTACAATGATTTTTTTTTTTTTAAGTGGATACTTTTTCTACTAGAAAAACTAATCCGATTGTCAAGTATAGCACGGAAATGTTCTCTGGACGGTACATTAGGTCATTTTTTGAAATTCTTTTTAATATTCGAGATAATGAGGAAAACGTGGTTCTAACTCCGTTAAGAATCGTTTATTCGTTAGAAATAGTTTATCGCTGCTTACAAATGTACATTAAATTCTTATCTGTATCCTACCTTCCTAATTTCTCACCTACAACAGTAGCTGTTTTATATTTTTTTATATTACTTACGATGATAACGAATACACATATTTATATTTCAATTAATTTTTTATGTTTTCATAAAATAATTAAAATATAACTCAAAAATTGGAAGATATTATAGTTTATTCTTCTGAATATTTTCACGTTTAAAAATTGTATCCGTAATTAAATCCGTAATTTTTAAAGTTTAGAAAAAAAATAACTATACAGTCGATTATCCGTAATAATAATAGTCAATTAGCAAATACGATTACAGCATGGTGCATAATTACATTAAAAATAAGTTAATTATAAAAGTTATAGGATATGAAATATTGAAAATCAACTGTCACAATTTCAAAATATCAAAAAAAAAAAAAATGTACTGATATATTACATGAAAAAAAAAATTTTAAATTAATACAATTACTTTCTGCTGTTGTACGATTACTAATCAATTTTTATTATTTAATGTTCGATTTGTTTTCCTCTTACGTCTCTTTTTTTCTCACTTAATATTCGCTAATTTGTTTTCAACGATGTGTATGGAACTAGAACATCTAATTCTCTTTGTTTCATTAAAAATAACTTATCCTCTTGTACGCATATCGTATTAAGTGCATTTTGATGAGCAATATAGAATTTTCAAATTATTTTTTTTTTTTTTAAGGCTTTTCTAATCCTATAAAGTTGTTACAACTTTTCTTTGCATCTGTGAAGTTCTTGTGTAGAAAATAATAACCTCTTTACAAAACACTATGAATTGGTCGATAAATAGAGTAAGTGCTATCGTTTAAACACAGTTTTGTAATTCTCGTATAATAAAATAACTTTGAATAGCAATTATGAACCTATTATTCGGTAGTCTATGAACCCGATAAGAAGCCAATTTTTATGTAAACGCATTTTTAACATTAACTAATAAGGGGCGACAGTATAAAGAAGTGACGGAGTTCTGTTGCTGAGCGTACGGTTTTTTTCCTTTTGCTGTCCGAAAACCACTATCGTAATTCTATGCGATTCGGCCGTTCAATTCTCTTCCCCTCAACACTTACACATACACACACACACACACACACTAGACTGCTGCTGCTGCTACGAGACCTTAAACGACTGCGAGAGTCCCGGGACTCGTTAGAAACGTTCGTTCCACCATTAAATGTTACGTATATGCTAATTGCCGAATTAGTTAACTCGATTACGTGAGAGCGTATATTATACTGCTGAACCCCCCTCCATCCTCTCCTTCTCAACCCCCGGGGGCAGCAGCACTCGACAATTTAGTTTGTACAACGACGTCTCATGCCGCACACGCAGACTCCGAGCGCGATTTATAGGTACCATTTGCATAGCTAATCCGCGTTGAATTCGCTCGTTAAGCGTGTGTCGGTATGGGGAAGGTGATGTGCTGAGGGGGGGTGGTCCAAGAGGGTTTATTAAATCGTAGATGCAGTGTATATGCTTGTTTTTGTGTTCTTTTTATTTATTTATTTTTTATTCGTCGTTTCCGCCTCCTTTAGACGCCACCGCCGCCGGTTTCTCTGTATTCGATCCGGCGACATTATCATTAGGTTGATATTATTTGTTCCGCAGCCTTCGATGTAATAGAAAAAAATTCGAATCAAATTCAACATCTTCGCATGTATAAATATATCGTGTCTCCGTTGAATTTGAAGAAACTAAAAAATATTAAAACAAAAACAATACATTATTATTATGTTACGACTTAACTGTGTACTTAACATAATTGTTGCGATTTACGTTACGAAAAACTCGTGTCTAAGACAGACACTCAGTGTTCAAATTAAGAGGGTCGTAGGGGGACAGAGTACCGCAACTGGACGCTGTGGTGGATAGAAGGGCTATTTCCTTACCTCGGCCTGTGTTTTTTTTTTTAAAAAATTCTTTTATTATAATAGTTCATATAATATTCGCTATTGTGGTAATATAATTGAACGTATATTTCCAAAGAGAGACCTTTAATAGGGTTTAAAATGTCGAGGGTTAATCGTCAGCATCTAGAACTAAACCATCGGGTGAAATAGTGTTCAAATTATATTGAGTCCAAGTCCAATTAATGGCCATCCTTAGGTAATTTTAGATTCAAAATGTAAGCGAAGAATGTATTGGTTTTACACAGATACTTATTTCTTTTTTTATTTGTGAACACTTTTAATAGCCGAAAGCTTACTCCGATGTATACAATGTAAAACTTTTTTTGAAAGTTAATTTTCTTAGAGTGGTATTTTAGGGAGGTGATCTTTTGATTTTCCCAATAAAAGGGAAAAAGTGGGAAAATACGAGAATATATAGGAAATAAATTAGTAAAATATAATGATTTTTATTTTCTGTGGACAATTTTTCTACCAAAAATTTTTCTCCGATTTACAATGATAGAACTTTTTCTAAAATGAAATCTGATTAGGTACTTTTAAGAGGTCAATTTTCAAGAGTTTTTCGAGCAAATGTAAAAAACGGGGAAAAAACATTGGAAAATTGGGAAAAACCTAGATAAAATGGGAAAATCGGTACAAAATTAAACACAATTTATTAAAAAAAATATATATAAATATTGCCTATTTAACTGTTTTACCATAATAATATTATATGCATAACTATCAACTGAACGCTGTTCAGAATCGTCTTTAATAAGCAATAGTTTATCATCGCTTACAGATACAAATTAATTTCCCTTCTATACCCTACATTTTTAACTTCTCACCTACAACAGTGGCTGCACCCATTGTGTGAAGTATGTCCGGTTTTTTTTTTTCTATTTCACGAGAATAAAATGTTGTAATTCAGCTTTAAATTCGTGATAGCGACTCCACATTTGTCACAGGAATACTTGCATATTTATTTGAATGCGATTTAATTTTCAAATTAAATATATTTTATGCGAAATTGTTTGTCTGGTAAAAACAAAATTATTAATAAAATGTAACGTACTGTAGGTAAACACGCGTCGAACCTAACATTGTAATATATATATATAAATTAATGTAATCTTAAAAACTGATTTAACACCGTATCAATCACTTTTCAAAATGATATTGTTAAGCAAAGACTGAAAAAAAAAAATCATTAATTTATTCGGGAAACTCAAATTATTGAATCCGCGGTGATAAATCTTAAAAAATTATATAGCTACGCATCAATCATGTGCAAAGTGAGAATACGTATATAACAATAATATTGTGTACCTATAATACATCAAGCCTATAATATTATAGGACATTTTGCGTATTATTGGTTTTTCTCTTTATAAAGCACTATCAATAATAAGCAAGTACAGACAGAGGTGGATTCGGGGGGGGGTTATTCCCCTATAGTTGAAAATAGTTACAATACAAGATGTCTGTGTTATTTGATAAACAGATCTGTGTAATTTCAAAGGACTGCACTTATCATTGGATAAATACGCGTTTTAAAGGATTGTGCATATAAGATATAATAATATTATAATTTTGGTGCCCGGAAAAAAAGGGCTTGGAGTCAATTTTTTTTTTTTTATATTTGTTTGATCACAATGACATTAGTATATGTGTATAGTATTTTGTGTATTGTTTCGTGAATGTATATAGTTTGAATATTTTTGTATTGAAAACTGTCCAAAAGTAACTTCTTCTAACTCTTCTTCCCCGGAACTAAAGGTTTGTTCATCTAAAAAGCATGTTTGAATAGTGCACTTTTCAAAAGTTCTATCGTTCTATGTACCAACATTTTGTTTCGTAATTTATAGTATCTCTGTAGGTGTCTAAGTCAGTGGCAGCTCGTGCGTAGGTACGAAGGCACAAGTGCACCACATGGCATTCTATCAAATTAATATCTTTTAATTTTTTTTAGAACCCGATCGTTATAAATTGTTCATAAAGAATATGTAGATTTTATAAAAAAAAAAAATTATTCAAAGATATTTCTTGGTTATTATCTATGTCATGAACATAATATTTTTGCTCCCAAAGTAAAAACAGTTATGTTAACACACCAATTGGTGTGCAACACTGTGACAGCATCGCACGTCTGGATAAAATACGTGTGGTTGACGAATGGGGGATTGAGAAATTCTCTCTCTAATGCAACTCGCAGCTACTACTGCGAACCTATTTTTTAGATAAATGTTATCTACGTTTAATTTTGAGGCTTTCCAATTTGTATTCTGATTTCTGTATCGAATGGTTCGTGTATTATGTATATTATAATATGTTTTTTAAATTTTTAGTTTTACCCGTCACAGTGAATTATTTCGTCTTAGAATTAACACGTCATTTTTTCTTCAAAACTGAATTCATTGGAATATCTTTGGAAAAAAAAATGCTCCTTTTTAACAAATGAGGATAAACATATTACGTCATAGTCAATTCTTGTTATTTTTTTTATTTGTGCACCGTCTATTTTTAACACCACGAGCCGCCACTGGTCTAAGTTAACAATCTAGTATGTATTTCATGTGCCAAAATCCATTTATTACTCGTACAACGATTCGTCCGTAGATAGATCCAGTTCCATGCGTTCAGTGTATTGGCACACGTGCATAGTAAAAGAAAAAACAATTTTTTTTTTTTTTTTGACCCTTGAAACTTCCGACAAATTCACTCTTCATTTATCTTGTATTATAATCACTGTATTTCCTTTAGTCAACGTACAACGACCGAAAGATCGACAGAGAAATATCGTTATGTAGAAAAACGTATAATATTGTTGAGGGGGGATAGGAGACGTTGTATATTTTAGTAGATTTAGACCTAAAAGTCTGACAAAATCGTAGGAATTACGTTTAATCGGATTTCGGGTATCAGCCAGTAGATTAGCGGACAAATCGTATCAGCACAGCGGTGGTCATCGAAACGTAAACAAAAATAATGTCGAATTTTACGAAATTGGAGAAAATTTGGAAAATCGTCATGGCAATCTCCTCAGCGGTTTATCCCATTAACTGTTGAGGAGATCCCACAAACTTTATGGGACAGTTTTTTTTTTTCGGTTTTCATTTCTAGTTTCTGACCATCCTTCGCACGTCCACTCTGCGGCACTATAATAATAATAATAATAATAATAATAATAGTAATCGTACACCGACGGGGCAATAATACGTTTACGTTTTTGTACACTTAAATTTTACAAAGGGTTTATACGTATATAGGTATAATTTCGTCGCGGGAGCTTTAATTATATATATATATATTTTTTTTTTTTGTGTCCATACAGGTTTTTTTTGTTATCTCCGTCCCCGATAGATATATACACGCGCAATCTAACTGCAGTGCCTTCCTAATAACAATACGCAGCACGACCCGATCTCCCGAAGAGATCGTTTTTAATTAAACTCGACCACGTGCAGATACACCCCGCGTGCACAGGATGACTGTAACGGCCGCGGTATTATTACACACGGTGTATATGCGGCGACGAGACTTTTAGCAGACTTACTTTTCTTTTTTTTTTCTCGCCGTTTTCTTTTCCGCCTACACACGCGCGAGAACTATTTCAGATATCCGCGCGCGACGATTTCTCGCCCGCGTGCGTTTTCGGGAGGATTCAAAGGGACGCATTTTATACAATATTGCGTTTATAACGTTTCGGTGTGCGCGAAATTATGCTTTGTTCTTAGATAAATATATATATAGAGAGAGAGAGAGATAGAGGGATGAGAGAGAGAATAAAGCGCGTTTTACAATACGTATAATATGTATGTATTATAGGTATACACTGTCGGAAACTACTGCGCTACACGCGGACGTGTATAATAATATTATAAATCATTCGTTCTAATGTGACAGAATACATGCACGTGTGTGTATTTATATATGAATTATTATCGTGTTCTTTAAAGCGGCCAAGCGGGTCATTTTTTTTTTCTTAGGGGTGGCGTGAGGGCTTTACAGAACCGACGGTTTTCAACGCGAAACAAACATTACGGGAAGACGATTTCTTAACAGTCGTATTCAGACTG